TCCAATGAACCTGCTATGGAGTAGAGATGAGCCATGAGAAGGCCTATTCAAAAGCACATTGTAAGAAATCTGTGTATTATCACAGATTTATTTTCGAATCATGTTTTTTAGTTTTATTATATTTTTATTATTTCAATCAATTCAATAGCTTGTATCTAACCATGTCCTTCACTGACAGATCTAGGGATTCACATGCTGATATTTTGTCAACACCCAAAGTCAGTCATTGCTTTGCAGCATTAACCACTCCCTTATTCATTATAATTAGAGTGAGGAATAAAATCTACAATAAAAAAGTATTTTAGCTTCTTCATCTGTTGTAGTCTTCATCCACTTGTGTCTTTTCAGCCTCTATGAGTAATTAATCACACAGCAGCCACGGTCTTAGTGTTGTCCCTTGTTTCTTTGCTTTTTCCCATAGCTGCCAGGTTCTTAGATATTTCTGTAATGCTCTTAACGCTCCCTGGCAGGTAAAACAAGACTTGGTTTCCATCTGCCTGCTGTTTACATTTTAGAACAAAGTTTGTTATCAGAATGAAACAGTTTCTAGCACCAGTCTTTCAACTACGTCACCTCAGCCACCAGTTCTGAACCAGCCAGGTAATTTTCTTGGCTTCTACTTGTTGCTGTTTAGCAGAATCAAGGAGCAATATTACGAAATGTCGTGCCTGTAGTGCAATTGCTCAACAGCCAATTTACTGAAAATAAGCAACACAGCAGCACTGAGGAACACATCTCAAAGATCATGTATGTGGTTGTGTGATTTGTTTCACTGGTTTTAGCCTGCTGAGATATGACAGCATATTTAGAGAGTCAAGGTACATTTTCTTGGCAAGGAAGCAGAGCATTCTGACTGTAAAATCCTTTAAGTGAAACACTGCACTGTTTTTTATATCAAATAAGACTTTTATTTTCTGATCATGTTTCTTATTTGAATTCATTAGTGTTCTAAGAACAAAATTACCTGCATATTTATTACTTGGGTTGATTACTTGGGTTGGGTTTCTGCCCAACTTGGAGTTGGGCAGAAATGTGTGGATAACCAGTTTATTTACCGAGGGAAATAAAGATTTTGAGGAAATGGAAAACTGTTGAAAAGTGTTTACCAAACTGGAAATACTTTCAGCTGAAGTAGAAAATAATGTCCAAATATTTTGTTTGACTTCTACATGTAACTTTAAAAAATTACATTGTATATCTTTGTTGCTAAAATGAGTGAAGGGAATAAGCCAAAACCAAACAAAACTTTTCATATTGGGTTGAATAACATATATTGGCTGACATACATTTCTGTTCCAAAAGGATAAATATTACCTGAGAATTGATTTAAATTGCCTCTGCTGCCTTTGTTTTGATTTTTTATTTGGTCTACTACACAGGCAGTACTAATTAATGCTAGATATTGTGTTATGCTGGGACCTCATAGGAGCCTCAGTGTTGCGTTTCATATTTCCTAGCCTTTACTGGTCTGATCTTCATGCTTTTATTCAGCGGACAACTCCCTCTGAAGTCAACAGAGGTATTTCTCAAATTAAAGGGTGCATGGTAGGTACGAGTCCATCACAAGTGGACTTCCTAAATGGGAAGGTGACCAACATACTCTTGTAGCCAAAGAGTATGCGCTGGAATACAGGTGCTGGTGTAACTCCTCCAGGTAAATACTCTGGGTTTGGATAAGCATGAAGGCACATGTTTTCTTGTTTTAGAATATCCCTTTAGAGGGGTAATATCTGTTCTTAGATATAATTCACGTGTAGGAACCATACAGATGAACTCATTTAACAAAGGGGAGATCCAGCAGGTAGTGACTTGTAACCGTAAAAGATAATAAATCAAAATGGTATCTATGCGGTGGGGATCCAGAATGTACTTTACATTTCATGCAAATGTTTGGGTGGAAAGCACGACGTTCTGATGGGTAAGTAAAGCCTTGTCTTAAATAAAGCAAGCTTCTGATTTCTAAGATTCGTTTCCAAGTTAGATTTTTTTTTTGCTGACTTCAAGCCTCCAGGGTACCCATGCAGTAGTACTGTACTGGCTGAGAACAGGCAGATGGTGTTCACCAATCCTTCCACGCAGCCTCATGTTTTATCATGCCAGTATTGTCATCAATTATTTCAGTGTATTAAAACAGTGGTGGATCTCATTTGACCAACTAAGGCCTAAGACTGGAATCACCTGCATGCTAGCTATTTAGTGATGACAAATTTTTGATTGGGAAATGATGAACAGATCATAAACTTTAATGTGGAAAGTGAGGTTACTACATTCATGTACCAAAAGCTTACCAAAAGTATCAAGTTGCACCAGCATACCAACAATCAAAGCTTGCATGGTCAAAATGATCAAGTGTACCAGAGCCTTATGACTTTTCTTACCTGGAAAACTGTGTGAGACATCACGCAGAGTGAAGGGTATGCTTTGACCATAACTGACTACATACTTCACTTTATCGGCTTGCCAGAAGAAAAGCTGTTGTACAGACAGGTCAAAGTCTGCCCTGGATTTTTCCTTTTATCACTCTGCCTACTTCAGTGGATGAGCATACCTATGGCAAAATTTTACTCCTCGGTTTGCATAAAGAGTTTCTTTTAGTAAAATGATGTTGGGGAAAATAAAAATATGAACTTATGATTTTTTTTTCCTACAAACAATGTTTTCCATATTTACACAACTCAGACATTAATGGATGCTAGATATGTGGACAAAAATATTTGAATACATTTTTACTATAATTTCACAAAGGCATGTTTTGCAGAACCAAAGAAACTTTGCAAGATCACAGATACTTGTAGCATAGATTTTTCTTCTTATTTCAAGCTAACAGAAATGCGAAATCTCAGATTTTTTCACCCATATCTATTGCCATTACCGTTCTAACTGTTAGCGGACAAGTAAAACTCTGGTCAGAGGCCACTGGGAAGGTCCTGTTTTGCAGTTACTGCTACCACAAACCACATCATTATCATTAAATGCCAAAGTCTACCTATAGGTCAAGGTCAGGCCAGGAAGATGACTGGGGAAGAAGGTAACTGTCATGGAGCAGTCAGAGTACTCATTTGCATTATATCATCAGAGAAATCAAGTTGAAGGAAGGAACTAAAAAAACCCCTATAAACTGTAATGGTCATGTATAATGAAGGAGTCTCACTTCTAATCAAGTGGACTTTCTATTAATGCTTAATAATTGGTAAAATTGCAGTCCTGTCTTCTATCCATGCACGGGGAGGTATCTTACACAGCAGGACCACTTTGATCAAACAGCACCTCTTGTACCTGACCTTGCGTAAGCAGAAGACATTTCACAAAATGGACTGCATATGGTGTTTCTTAGATGGCGTAAAGCATAAAGCCTGCTCCATTTTCACTTCAGAAGACAGCAATTCAGGATGTAATTGTCACTTGGCATAGTAACCCATAGTAACCCATAAAGAAGGACCATTTGAGATAATAGGAAAGGGATCAAGGAACATAATGACACCAAGTCCATGCTTGTCTTGTTAGTGTACTTTTTCCAGATATTGTTGTCCCAATGTTAACTCTGACCTTGTTCAGTGAGAACAAACATTGGCAGACAGAGACAAACAGAAATGCTTCCATGAAGCATCTTTCCATAACAAAGCCCTGTGCTATAAATGTTTGTGGAACCACAAGAAACTTAAGCTGGGGGAGTAGCACTTGCAGAGAGGCTGTCAGCACATGACTTGTTGAAAATTTAATTCTTTGAATGCATCATGTGGTTTAGGAGGACAACATATTCTAGAGCAATCCCCCTTCCTTATACCTTTTCTTCTGGAAGACAGCACTTCAAGCTCTGGGGCTGCCTTTGTTCTGAATGCTGCTGAGGATGGTGTTACGAGGACAAGAGCCCTTGGCAGGAGTAAGATGTACAAAAAATGTGGAATGATTGGCAGGTACTTTAAGCTTGTAAGGATAAGAAGCAGCAAAACTGGCATGTATCTGAAAGCACAAATAACAGGAAAATTTACTTCACGTGTACAAAATAGGTAGGTGTTTTAATATTAGATCATTAATCCCAATTAATGTTCTACAAAACTGTCACACAAAGCACAGATAAGGGTCCATATTAATAAACATGACCAAAAAGGCAAAAAAACCCCTAAAAACCAACACCGTTATGTAGGTCATACACTTCTGTAAGTAACCAAATTGACATTTGTGAAAAGTAAGGAGTCAGAGTAGCAAAAACAGCAGTAGTACAAACTGTAGCATGGAGTAGCAGCTCAGGTTTAACCCATGCAAAGAACCTGTGGTTTGGGAAGTAGCTAGGATTTATGTACAGTGGGCACTTCTCATGTTTAAAATTGTCGTCAACGTTGTTCACTAGTGGAACTTGAAGTTTCATGATATTCCACTTTCCTGCTAGGAATGTGCTTGGTGCCACCAGATATAAATCAGGTAATATTTTTCTAATTGTTAGCAACAACATGAGGTTTTCTCTCTGTTTTTCTCTTCTAAGTCTTTCTGAATCTTGTTGTGCCTCCTCTTTAATGGAGCTGCTTGTGACAGACACTAGGATTTATGATCAGTGGATACTAATGCAATTTAGGACTTGGGAACTGTAGAACAATATGGGAGGATAATGAGGTGGGTTTATAAAGCCTGCGTGATAAACAACCCAGTTTCTTAATGTTGGCAATTATTCAATAATGAGTAGGGAGAGGAGAGAACACTATTTAGAAAGTGGGCAGCTGTATACCAAAACTGAGCAGTACGAAGCAAGAGTTGTAAGGGGCGGTGCCTTTTACAAAATAGAGAAGTGATGCAGTCTGTTAAGTATTATCAGGCTGGGTATCTTGTGTTTCTTTTAAAATGTGTTTTCTCTGCAATTGCAAGTTCTTGTAGGCATTTTTGAAATTAAACTGCTCATCTCTGTTTGAAGCATACAAGTTTAAACCAAAATGGATCTGAAAAAGCATCAGCAGTCAATCCATAATAAAACCAGGGACAACTCAAGATTTAAACTCGGAACTACTCACATTTTTGGAAACTCTTCTACCATGCCAAAATCCAAAGTCCTGATCCATGTGGAACAGACTAAAGGAGTTAACCTGTGAGAGACAAACTACCCTTGACTGGGTCATGTACACAAATAGAATTTGAATTTTGTTGTCATGTCATATGTTTTGTACTAAACAAAGTTAAACGGAACCATTGTCCCTATTGCTTACTACTTCTGCACTTGTTTTTTTCAATTAATAGCTTCCCCTTCTGATTATATTAACATTCATGTGCAAATCAGAATTCGGCAATATAGTTTTTTTTAAGTAGCTGTTCTGGGGACAGTAATGCTTCAGATACAAGCATCAGCTCATGAAGCATCTCACAGCTTCATGTTTTTTTCTTATCCTAGCCACTAGAGGGCAAAAGACATAGCAATAACTCGGACGTGGTATTCTTTTATATGGTTTTATGTTATGAGTATTGCAAGCTATAGGAATAAGGCAGAGCTGAAGTAGTATCTACAAAGTTTTTTTCCTAGATGGACTTAGAGGTACTTCAGATGACTTGTATGGGGCATAAGTTTGCTATCTTCTCACAAACTGAAAAGAGAAAGAAATAATACATTTTGGGCACACTGAACGACATTTATAGATGATTATAAGTTCAACTTTGTGGGTGAAAGTGAAGTTGTCATTAACTCAAGAGTAATCTCTTTTAGGGATGTGAACGGGTTTTTCAGACTCTTCTTTGCTAACTGCCTTGTGAGGGGTGTGTGGCACCGACCAGCTCCATGCAGCTGCCCTGCTGCCACGAGAAACCTGAAAAGCAACTGCAACAACCCCAACTAATTTTGAGCAATTGATTAGCAAACAGGTTTTGAGTTCAGCTTATCCAGTGATAACACATAAAGATTCTGCAGCTCACCAAATACAGCACTGGAGAATATGGCTTTGAACTTTAGAAGAATCTTTCACCCACTAATAGAACCAACATGATGATGAAACATTTTCTTCCTATGTAGGCCATTATTTATTCTCTTGTAGGCATGCAGCCTTCAGGTGACGGCTTTCCTCTCAAGCTTTAAAGCTCCCCTTTGGTTTTGTCTAATTACAGTGGAGCCTGCAGAAGAGAGAAATCTTGAGATTCTGCAGAAAATCTGCATTACAATAATCTGCTCCCTAAGGTCATGAGAGTAGACTCCAGACTTCTTTTTGTTTAGAAGAATTGTGCTTTTTTTAGTAATTGCTACTGTGTATCAGCATCATCTCTCAAATTTTATTTTGCTCTCTTTTCAATCCGCTAAATATAGCTGTAAGATCAAAGAACCACAACTACCCAAATACAGAAGCCCTGATGTACCTCGCACTCGGTTTAAAAAGACCACTGTAAGATATCATTCTTACAAGGATATTTCTAATGAATGGATTTTCTTTCTCTTCTTCTGCCCAGAAAAGAGGACTTTACTTTGTGAACAAAATCATCTTTCTATTTACCCTCTCTAATATATTGTTTAAAAGACTCAGCAATAAAGCTTCATATTTACATTCCTGATCAATAGTGAAAGCCTTTGAAAGTTTCTATAAGTCTGTGAAAACCAGAACATAGCTACACACCCTGGAAGCAGCGCTGTGAGACCCAAGAAAACCTTAAATACGTTGGCAAATGGAGAAGACCAGAGTGCTTGTTCACTGTGTAACTCTACTCATTTTGTCCATTATGTGAATGAGATGTGAAGAATAATTTCCTGCATCTCCAAGGCCCTAACCCCTGGAAAACAGTAGTAGTGATGTTGCCCACCTCCTGACTTTCAGTGTGGCTTGTCCTGGGCCATTGCACTGTAAACATGCAGAGAAGACGGAGTAGTTGAATATCAGTAAAAAAATATGTATATATCTATCTTACTGGCAGACTTTAACAAGCCTTTGTTGTATATTACATTTTAAGCTCTACCTTCTAGTCTTCAAAATTACAATAACTAATTAGAGGTATGTGAACAGTGTAACAATCTTCTGGCAATAAATTGCAATACACTTTCATAGTTACACGGATTTCATCTTCTGTGAAATGGTCCTTATAAAAACAGTAATAGTTAGTATGTCATGTCCTTGGAGCGTATCAGCAATTAATCCTCAAAATGATCAATGGAGACGATGTCCTTTTCCCTCTGTTTCTGGTTATTTATGTGTGCCCATTAATTAAGCCTAATTTTCTGTTGGCACTTTTCTTCTTAGTGCAATTCAGTTTTAGCATATCTTTCCAAAGACTTATTAATAAGTAGGATCCTTTATATTTATTGTGTAGCACAAATATTTTATAATCCACTAATCTTGACAAAAAGGCAATGCCTTACCAATAAAAAAATGCATGAGGAGTAATGGTTCCTTGCTAATAACTTATTAGGTCAGATCACCCAGTTTGACGTGTCTATCACACTTTAATTTTATCAGATTTCTTCCTTTGGAAGCTACTACTCTAGCTTTTATTGGGATTATTTTTATCCCAGCTGGATCCCTTGCCAAAACCAGCTGTACAGTCATAGGACAAGCAACGGACACAAGTTGCAGCAAGGGAAATTCCACCTGGATTAAGCTAAAATTTCTCCGTGTTAAGAGTGGTTACACAGTGGAACAATTTGCCCAGGGAGACTGGAAGCTCAGTCCCATTCAAAACAGCTGGAGAAGGCTCTGAGCAGCCTGATCCAGGTCTGAAGAGAGCCCTGCTCATGTGGTTGATGACGACCCAAGTTTGCTCAGCAAAAGAGGCAATGTGGAACAGATATGAGGAGACAAGGCTATGGTCAGAATATGAAAGTACTTTAACCAAAAAGCTCTAATTCTCCTGCCTTTTACACCAGTGTCATACCAGTTCCCCCCTGTGCATTCCAGTGCCTTTACAGAGAGCCTAGCAAAGAGGAGCTCCAGCTGAGACCACAGTGCTGTCACATAATTTGTATGTATTTAATTTTCAAATTTCCAGAGTTTGTGCTAGGAAACTGGTAAAGTTGCTGCACCTTACACAGGCAGTGTTTAATGAAATTTGAAAACTAAACAAGCAGCAATCGTAATCAGACAGTAGACAACAAAAGGATAAAGTTAAACTTACTTCTACTCACCCTCACTTCTTGTCTGGTTAAATCATCCATCTTAAGATAAGTTTGGGTCAGGATTGTAGCAATAGGTAAATTGTTGATCTCTATATAATGCTCTGACAAAAATTCTCAGGTTTTGCTGTCTGGTTGGAGCAGGTCACATAAAAACTGATGTGGGGAGACACTACTGCTGCTCTGTTAGTGAAATAAAAGCCCTTTTTTGGTGTTTGCAGCATCAGCAGCTTCAGGCTGTTAAATGGCAGCTGTGGTGTAAAAATAGACACTGGTATTTATTGGAAGCTTAAGCCTGCTGAGGTTTTACAGATTTAGAAAGTTCGCTAACCACTATCAATTAAAAAGACTGCCTCATTCTTGCATAAATTAATCAGACTGATGCACTCCACCACAGGGCCTACTCAAAATATTTATTTTGGAAAAGCCTTACCAGATTTAGTCCAAGAGTGGTACTTATAGTAACAGTCAAGGCTTTTAAACTGCTACAATTATAAGCATTTTTCTAAATATCTTATAAACTTGGCAAGACCGTGTTACCAGTGTCTTAGCGCCTGGTAACTATCGAGCAGGTTCTGAAAGGCGAGAATGAAAAAGCAATACTTAAAACTTACTTTGAACGCCTGGAAGACTGGAAGCATATGACGTACGCATGAGACTTTCTTACATTAAAGATTATGACCGAAAACAAAAGTATTTGTTCCACATTACTGTGAGAGAGAGTAACACAGCCCTTACCCCATATCCTGTTCTTGGAAATGCTTGGATTTAAGGAAGATCACCTGCGTTGAATTCCCATCTAGATTTATGCTAATGGCAAGGCTTCTGCTAAGTTATGTAGTGTCAGGTTTTCATTTATTGCGCTCCTAACGTCCAGAATATTTTCAGAAAGAGAAGCTGCATGTTTTAGTTCTGTACAGGCGACAGTGGTTTCATACAGAGTGCTAGAGAGGTGTGTGTAACTTCCTCTTCAAATCTGTAACTCCTAATTTTGTGGATTCCCATAACTCATTATTGCAAAGGCTTCTTAAAAACTGTCAAAGGCAGGGGGTCTATGTGCTCATCGTAGTGCACTGTGTTAAAGCAGAGACTTACAAGCTGGTTTAGTGAAAATCAGAACTTGTTGACTTTTCTTGGAGATTTATTTAAAGCAATGCTTTGCGGATGGATGTCATGGTGTACCAAAGTGAAAGTGGTGCTACCTTTGCTTACAGTGCTGAGCTGAGCTAGAGAATTTGGATACTGCTGTTTCCTTCCTCTTCTACTACAAATATCCTGACCCCTCTAAAATGGCTCTCTGAGGGAAAATAGAATTGGTAGATGCATTCAGCAGACAGTTAAAGACTGATGAAGGCTTTCTATTAGCAAATATTCTGCAGTGCATACATAAAGATAAAAAGTCATTTTTATGCCACAAAACCATTCAAGAAATGAGAAAGTTTCAAGAATTTTGTTTATAGAAGCTATGATAGAAATATCATCTTATTTTCCATTTCCATGCTGTCTTATTGTACCGGGTCTGGCTGAGATGGAGTTAATTTTCCCCATAGCAGCCCTCGGTGCTGTGCTTTGTATTGGTAGCTAGAAAGGTGTTGGTAACACACCAGTGTTTTGGCTACTGCTGAGCAGTGCTTGCACAGCACCAAGGCTGTCTCTCCAACATTCCCCCCTCACCCCCAAAGGCCAAGAGGCTGGGGGTGGGCAAGATCTTGTGCGGGGACATAGCCAGGACAGCTGACCCACGCTGAAAGGGATATTCCATACCATATGATGTCTTGTTGTGGTTTAACCCAGCAGAGATAAAGACAGTTTAGACTGTTGAGATAAAGACAGTTTAATAGGACAGAAAAGGAAAGGAAAATAATAATAATAGTAATAATAATGATAAAAGAATATACAAAATAAGTGATGCACAATGCAGTTGCTCACCACCCGCTGACTGATGCTCAGCCAGCCCCCAAGCAGTGGTCAACCCCCGGCCAACTCCCCCCAGTTTATGTACTGAGCATGACGTCCCATGGTATGGAATGTCCCTTGGGCCAGTTTGGGTCAGCTGTCCTGGCTGTGCCCCCTCCCAGCTTCTTGTGCACCTCCAGCCTTCTCAGTCGGTAGAGCATGGGGAGCTGAGAAGCCCTTGGCTAGTGTAAGCACTACCTAGCAACAACTAAAACATCGCTGTGTTATCAACATTGTTCTCATCCTAAATCCAAAACACAGCACTGTACCAGCTACTAGGAAGGAAATTAACTCTATCCCTGCCGAAACCAGGACATGTCTGCTCAGCAATAAAAGCTAAAAGAAAGCAGGAGGAGGAGGGGGCATTCATTATTACGACATTTGTCTTCCAGAGCAACCGCTACATGAACTGAAGCCCTACTTCCTGGGAAGTTTTTTTCCATCTTATTTTCTCCCCCTTGTCCTGCTGAGGAGGGGAGCGATAGAGTGGCTTGGCGGGCACCTGGCATCCAGCTAGGGTCAACCCACCACAGTTAAGAATGATATTCCTCAAATTGTGGCTGGTAATGATCTGAAAAGTCTACCCAGCATAATTTACTCTGTAGAAATCATCCTTCAGCGTACTCTGGTGTCTTAATCTCCCCTTACCCTCACAATTCAGTTCCAGAGCCTTCCGCTTTAAATCAAACTAGCTTGGCACATTGTGGATGCACAGTATCGCTAATAGTTACCTTTCATCATTATGCAGATAAGAGAGGTAATTCTGAAGTTTTCAAAGAAACCTTAAAAACACATCATTACTGTAATCTTGTACAGGCAAATAGAATTAATTAATAACATTGACACTGTGAGTTGATTAATCAAAAATACATTGATTTATAGGTTTTCTGACTCTCTGGAAATTCACTAAAAGCATTGTATGATCCCTTGTATAACTGATTTATGAAGTGTTTCATTCAATACAATCTATTAGGTACATACTATTGATAGCTCCTAGCATAAAACAGTGCATACTGGTGCTTTCATTCAATATAACAAAGTACATATACCCACTAAGTGCAAAAAGGGATGGCTTCTTCCTAGCAAAAGAAGGCAGAAACTAATTTATAGAGAGAGTAAAGGGTCGTAAGCACTTATATTTTAATATTTTTACTTAGAATGTTTATTTGTAAAATCAGTGATATAAAAGACACTCATCCTACACTGTATATGAAGTATCACGGGCTCATACAGATAATGCATGTAATGAATATAATTGTCAAAGTGGGTGCTATATTGTTTGTTTATCTTACTGCAGAAAATACTATTTTAGCATAAATATTTAGTGGAATACTACTAAATTCTCCAACCACCTGGCAAATATTTATAAAAGCTGTACCACATTAACTGTGCCTTAAAACAATACTCATCTCTGTCTTAGCTGTGCACTGAATATGTCCGTGGCAGTGGTTTAGTATTCTCAAAGCTCACCATCCAGTTCTTCTTTTACCAGCCACTTCTTCAAAAGTTAATCAAAGCATCAGCCATTACTATAAAAGAAGAGAGACATGCCTTTATTTCTTTAGTCTAATGATAAAGTAGTAACCTAGCATTAATTATAAGCCACATGGCAAATTATGAAAAATAGCAATGCCCTGAAGTATTTATCACAGAATAACATCCCACAGAGGAATAATACATTAGCTAATCGCATCTGGCAGACCCCCCACCCTCACCCCAAGCATGTTGCAACCTCTCTGCTCCTTGGATCCTCTGTCCCACCTCTTCTTTGCTTTTTTTCAGTGGCCCTTTTTCAAGTTCTGACTTTTCTTTTTTTTAGGGCTATAAAAAAACCTATCTGGTGGCTCTGTTTGGAGCTTATACCTAATTTCATAACAACGAACACGAAAACTTCTCCTTCTCAGCGCCATCTTTTCTCAAGAATGCATTTCAGTTACCTAAACAGATAATTCTCATTCGCTAAAAGTGAAATATTAACATACTAAAAAAGGCCATTGATGCCTGCTAATTCTCAACATTTTTTTCTCATTTCAGACATAGTTTTTGATTGTCATATGTTTTCAATTTGTAGCCATTTAAAACCTTGCCCTTCTTTGCGGCAGAATGAAATTTGGCTTTAATGATTGTCTCACTGTGATGGGTGCTGCCCAGATTTTTCTTTCCAAAAGCCACACCCTGCTGGTGCTTTTTTATTTGCCCTGCGCTTAGACTAATAAAACAAAAATCAACTGAAAGGATCAGACTAAAATTATTCCATATTTTTTTGAAGTTGAATTGCATATTTCGTGAAAGCGATTCATTTGCTGGCAAAGTACAACAGTGTTAAAGAGCCAGGAACAACTTTACTGAATCATCAGGTTGCTTAGAAGTCTTTACAATATTGTCAAAATTAAACTCAAGAGAAATGAAAAACATTCCTTTTAAAAAAATCTGAGTATTTGTGGAAAAATATTCTGATTGCTAGAAAAGGTAGACTGTGCGTCTCCTCTTGCTGATATATTTCTTAACTGATATGAAGAGCAAATAGGCCCCAGCGGTAGCCTTACTGAAAAGGGCTGGCTAAGCAAGATGGCCTCATCTAATATTTTTACAACTATCTTATATGGGCTGCCAAGGGCAGTATCTGTCCCATTGTTGCCATAAAGCTGATTGAACAAATCCTTAGGGATTAATCTTAAAGGATTTTTTTTCAGAAAACTGTGATTGTGTGAGAGAGAACATAATATAAGATACAACCTTTTATTCTATTTTCCCTCCCCTGAGAAGGACGAATAAGAAAAATTCTCCAAATGTCACTTTCAGACTTTTTGTGATGTATGTGTGCGTTTTAGAGATAGGCACTAAACCAGATATGTGCGCATTTTCTGGTTTATTCAGAGAAACCAACACTGTTTTCTGACTTCCATCATTGTCGTGGTTTAACCTTAGTCAGCAACTGAGCACCACACAGCCGCTCGCTCACTCCCCCCACCCCCCCACGTGGGATGGGGGAGAGAATTGGAAGAGCACAAGTGAGAAAAACTCATGGGTTGAGATAAAAACAGTTGAAAAATTGAAATAAAATAATAATAATAATACACAAAGAAAGTGATGCACAGTGCAATTGCTCACCACCCGCCGACCGATGCCCAGCCAGTCCCCGAGCAGCGGTCACCCCCCTGGCCAGCTTCCCCAGTTTATGTACTGAGCATGACGTCACATGGTATGGAATGTCCCTTGGTCCAGTTTGGGTCAGCTGTCCTGGCTTT